TCCCCCCCCCCCCATAAAGCGTTCAGCATTCATTAGCGCCATAACAATTGTCAGATACTTTACGTATCGCATTGCTATTCTTCTTATAACCTTGGAGTCCGAAATTTTGGCCCCACTAATCCATGTATGGGATCTATGCAAAACATGCCCTGCACATGGGTTTTTTGTCATGCACAAATGCTGGAAATTAAGAACTGAAACTCGAAAAACTTTGGCTGAGAAGAACGTGGGTTTTTTCTTTAAACAGGTACGTGGACACTTTCAACAAAGGTCGCCCAAACGCTGCAGCGAGCACGTTCAGATCACCAGCCGCCCCATCAGTCAAACCTCCTCCCACAGCAAACACAAATTTCTTCATCCCGACGACACCCATAGATACCGAGGAACATAATGCACCATCCACAGCTGATCCCACCCAAGTTGAAACTCTGGTCAGACCAGAAGACAATTACAGCAACACTTCAGTGGCAGGTCTGGCTCAGACATTCCAGACCCCTCCTGCCGCGTCATCAGCAATGACTATACAACGATTCCCTAGCATGGACCACATCAGAGGCTCAGCAGCTGCGGCACCAAACCATCTCAACGGCAACTTCTCAGGACACTCAAGAAGAACCGCTTCTTGGGGCGGAAGCTTTGATGTTATGGCTGGCGGCCGCCCTATCAATGAATCAGGTCCAAGACCTCTGGGCGAAGTCCTCGGCCTGCCTCACTCTGCCTACATGTCGGGTCCATTACCCGCCAATGCTCTCGGAGATGAGCTTCAGGAGGTGGAACTCTGAAACGCGGAAAAGTCACCGGAAGAATAATATGTAAATATCCGAAAGTTGTGCTTCTGCAGCAGCCACCCCTCTTTCGGAAAAAGCTCTATGCATAAGTTCCCGGAAAATGCAACCAGGCTTGTCTCCAAACATCAGGTGAGAGCTCTGGAACTATCTGTGATTTTGCAAAAAACAAAGAGCTTTATCTTGTTTTTTCAGATAGGGAATTGGGTCGGCGAAATATATATGATACGATTTGTACTTGTTACATTTATTCATTACTTCGAAAACCCCAGAGGTATAAAGAAAGAGCGTGGTGGAAGGCTGAGAGAGAAAGCTCTTGAAAGATAGGAGCAGGTGGAGGAGAGAATAGGGTTTTTTCTTAAAAGAGTTTATGTGAAATTCTATGGTATAATTGCATTTGGCATGTCTTTGTATTCTGGTTTAGATATGATTATTATGATCAATAATTATATATTCCAGTTTTACTCTTCGTGTATCCATATAGTTATGAATGAAACGAGATAATCATCTCAAACCTTGTATACACAGACGCAACGTGCCAAAAAAAAAATCCCAAATCCAAAACGGGGGGGAAAAATCTATCTTAATACAATTTGCTGAAGCCGGAGTTCATCCCAGATTCCCCCAGCCGTGGCGGAAACAAAACCTCTTTCTCAATCAACACCTGAAGATGGGACATAACCTTAACCAGAGACACCCAAACAAAGGGCGCACAAAAAAACCCGTACCCGAAAACCGACAAGGCTCTCACCACTCCGTCTGGATACCATGGAAATGCCATCACTATGAGCGACCCTATAATGCCGAGCCAGGGCGTTAGGACAGATGCCGCCGGTAGCAAGAGCGAGTTGATGGCTATGGAGGAGAGAGCGAGGGAGCCGGTCAAGTAGAGTGACCAGCCGATTAGCGGGTGGATGGTGCAAGGGATGGTGAAGAAGGGCAGGATGTAGGCCGATAGGATCGATACGATTGCCGCGAGCTTGAATGCCGTTTGCATGGCGTAAAGGTTGCGTCTGTAGCATAACTTTGTGATGGTGGGACGTGCAAGGCGCGCGGCTACGATGATTCCGACGTAGAATGCTGCTTGGATAAGGATCAGTGGCATTTCCGCTGCATAGCTGATTGGTTCATGTCATTGTCAATATCATTTAGTTTTGATCATCTGCATGGTTTTTTTGAACAGTAACGTACCCAAGAGTTTGACGGCGTTGCTCGTGCCATGAGAGGCCTAATGGAAGAACAGGCCATGACCACCAGTACCATGGCTTTAGCCAAACGGCTCCTGGAAACGTTATCACGCTGTTCGGTCCACATGGTACGTTCCATCTGAGTCTGAGGTCTGCATGGAGAGAAAAACATGTCTTAATTCGCAAAAGAACCAGCAGAAGATGATGTATGAAACAAGTTTAAAAGAAAGAAAGAAAAAACTCAACAGTAATAAGAAGCATCCATCTGGTAGCCCAAGGGAAGCCTGAAATGGCCGTCGAGAAGATCAGAGCGGTTGCTCGGAGGATGGAACAGTGGCTGGCCGAGCAAATCGGAGAAGTAGCTGACGAGAAAGCCCTGGTCGGCCCCATCTGGGTTATGTCTTCCGAGCTCAAGCTCGTGGATCATGTCCCTGAAGACATCCATGGAAGGCCGCAGCACGAAGAGACCAGTGTGGAAGATGCACGGGTTTATGAAGACGGCGCAGAACTGGCCGCACTGGAAGAGCTCGTCGGCGTTTCGCAGGAAGAGGTTGTCGGCGTCGAGCATGACGACTCGGTCGTAGTCGGACAGGGCCCACGCGTAGAGCTTGTTCAGTGTCAGTTTGAATCTCCTGTTGAAATTTCTCTGCCCCTTGTACGGGTTCTCCACGTTCTCCACTCTCACCACCTTTGCTCCGTCTTCCTCTTCCCTGCTTTCCCACCACCACCACCAACTCCCATCAATATTGGTTTGACCTTTTTTTTGGTTTAATGGTTTGACCTTTATTATTTAATCAATCGAGATTATTATTATTATCATCGTTAATTCGTTATTATTATTATCATCATTATTATTATTATTATTGTACTCAGACGTGAGTAGCACAAAGTACGGTGGATTGACCGCACTCATCGCACATTCGGACAACCCTTTTGTCGTGCCAAGGGCTCTAATTATGCCTTAAGTCAACAAGAGCATACATACATACATACATACATACATACATACATACATACATACATACATACATACATACATACATACATACATACATACATACATACATACGCCATAAATATACTTAATCTGATACATAAACCACCACATAATTACCGACATATAATAAACATATAAATATTTTATGATCATAAACATCAACGACAACGAGTCTCGTTTGAATAAAAAATGCATAATTTTAAAAATCCAGATATTAAAATGATGATAAAAATTGGTACTTTCTAAGTTCTTGTATTATATTATGCAGATAATTTAATAATGTTTTACAACAGCAGGTATCGATCTACAGATGCATCCTACACTGGACAACCAAGGAGATAATCGATAAGAATTGGGGAACATTAATTAATCATTTCAATCCAATTTATTAATCGTCAACGTTTTCTGGTGACCTACACAACCCTCATTTTCTCCCAGATTTTGACCTTTTTTTTCCATATGAAACTTAATATTCATTACTATAAGATATTATTATTCCCACAAAATAAAAACAAAACTTAATACGGTATATATATTTCATATACTTTGGAAGAAATAACCATTATACATTTAAATCCTAATTTCTAGATTTACCTTGCTTCTTCTTGGCCATTTTCACACACACACGTATAAGTATATATATATTACGTGGATATATTATATTATAATGATTAGCAAAACCCTTTTCTTTTTCGTATTGTTTCTTCACGTATTTAGCTTTAATAATTTCGATTAGAACCTTTTAAAAAAAAAAAGACCGACCACAGCAACTAATTAAATGACCAAATATGAAATATCTCATAAAACATTAGGCTTAACATCGCATTTCCAGCAACAAAAAAAACTTGAATAATTGAAAAGAATTAATGAATGGTGCAAAATAATGGGAAAATGTTTTAAATAGTGAGATATTTTGAGATTATAAAAAAAAGGAGAAAAATGTCAACGGGGGAAACACGTTACGTTTTGTTCAATTTCAAAGATAATTGAGATTGGTTTCATTACCGCAGGAGATAAGAAGGACTTACATGGACCGAACCCATCGGGGAGGGACGTCGAGGGAAGCGATGACGACGATATCTGCGTCCACGTGGAACGATCGGAGCGACCTGATGAGGACACGTGTCGCCACGTAGAACTCGTAGTCCCTCGGCGTTCCCATGTACATCATCGTCGCGTACGCGTTTCTGTGCTCCGGCCGCCGCGCCCGGAGACCGCGTTCCCTAACCGCAGCGTTTAGCGTTTGACTCTCTCCATTCGCCGTCGTTCCGACGATCATGAGACATGTTAGAACCCAACAATACAGCAACACTACTCCCGCTGCTCCCTGAATATCCATATGTTGAGAGAGAGAGAGAGAGAGAGAGAGAGAGATAAAGAATTATCCAGAATCGATTTTGTGAGATAACATAAGTCCGATTGGGCTTCCTTATACATGTTTATATATACACTTCCGCCTATATATATATATGTATATAATAGTAATACCATGAAAAGCGGAGAGAAAGAGAGAGAGAGAGAGAGAGAGAGAGAGAGAGAGAGAGAGAGAGAGAGAGAGAGAGAGAGAGTGAGTGAGGTTTCTGGGGAAGGCTTGAAAGCGTATTAGTGAACATCTGATCTGAGTGATTGACATTGATGTGATAAATAGAATTTATGGAACCTTTCCTTATTCCTTTTTATTAAATAATTAGTTTATCGAGTTGAATGTCATTAGGATTTTTTTAGTGTAGAAGCCATTCGATTTGCGATGATTAATATATTAACTCAATTAATATATATTTAATTAAGAGTAACGGAGAAAATTCAGGGTATAATACTAAAGTCTTGTACATTAATTATACTACGACTTATGAGACTCACCGTACATTTTCCAAATAGTGAAATGGAACCGGAAATGAAAAATCTTTCTGAACAAGCACAGATATTCTTGTGTTCTTTTTTTTTTCCCTTCTAAAAAACAAATATTATTTACAAACATCGTGTCGAATAAAATAATTTTGGATAAACTTTAAACTTAAACTAATGTTGTAGAAGAGGTGTTATTGTTTTAAAATAATAATTGGGGGTAACCATCATATTAGGTATTATTACTAATTGATAGTGTGGGTTAGACATGGATCGGGAATTTGTAAAATATTACTGAATTCGAACCCGAATGTTTTGGGTAACACATTTTAATATCCGAATTTGTATATGTGAAGTCGGATATTCTAACTAAAAAAACTCGCGAGATAATTATCGGGTATCCACAAATATTCGAATCCAAATATTTTTAATTATTTCCGGTCAATTTTGGATACTCGACGTACGAATCGGGATCAAGAATCCGAAAATTCGGGTTTTTTACCAACCCCAGGGAAGTGGGCAGCTAGCTGCCTACAATAATGTAAACCGATGCCTCTTTGTTTTGGGAACGTAAAGCATATATTAGGAATACGAAACAACGCAAATGGGACCATTACCTAAACGATAGCATGTGTTCGGTTACAATATTTCGTCCCTAACTCTATCCATTTTTTTTAACCGAGGAAAATCCATAGCACAGTCTTTCGGATCGGATACCGGCCGACCCCGTGGGTTCGATAGCATCTCGGACAGTAAATCTTTCGGCTCCATATAATGGCCGATAAACCACGCAGAACAGAATTAAACCAATCAAAACTGACCGGATCAGGAAAGCTCGTACCTCTTGAGAAATCGAAATTCTATCCATTTTGTTAATATGAATCTTATGATACGCATCAAAAGTTAAAAAAAAAAATGTTTAAATTGGTTATTCCTTGGACGATACCGAGTTGTTCAAACAATGCTGATGAATGCATCATCAGATCATATGAATAAATGGATAACATGTCTATATCATTATTATTACAAAAATCTATATAAAAATACAATACAGACAAGTACGGTAGGTATATACCCCTCTTCGTGTCAGGAATGTTCTGTTTCACTATATATATATATATATATATATATATATTAAATGGTATGAATTAATTGTGGATTCTTATAATTGGGCATTCTGCGTCATAAATAAACTAATAGTAATTAGGGTTGGGCATTTCGGTTCGGTTCTTCAGAACCGGATCGAACCGAACCGTTAAAACGGTATTTTTTCCGACCCGAAACCGTTGTTATTTCCCGAACGGTACTATTTTTAGAGAACCGAATTTTTCCGCAAACCGAACCAAACTTTAAAAATCCCGAAAAACCGAATATTTTTAAAGAAAATCTATCATTTTTTTAATAAAATCCGGAACCGAACCGATACCGAAACCGAACCAACCGAATACAATAAAAAAACCCGAGGCTGAGAGAGAAAGCTCTTGAAAGATAGGAGCAGGTGGAGGAGAGAATAGGGTTTTTTCTTAAAAGAGTTTATGTGAAATTCTATGGTATAATTGCATTTGGCATGTCTTTGTATTCTGGTTTAGATATGATTATTATGATCAATAATTATATATTCCAGTTTTACTCTTCGTGTATCCATATAGTTATGAATGAAACGAGATAATCATCTCAAACCTTGTATACACAGACGCAACGTGCCAAAAAAAAAATCCCAAATCCAAAACGGGGGGGAAAAATCTATCTTAATACAATTTGCTGAAGCCGGAGTTCATCCCAGATTCCCCCAGCCGTGGCGGAAACAAAACCTCTTTCTCAATCAACACCTGAAGATGGGACATAACCTTAACCAGAGACACCCAAACAAAGGGCGCACAAAAAAACCCGTACCCGAAAACCGACAAGGCTCTCACCACTCCGTCTGGATACCATGGAAATGCCATCACTATGAGCGACCCTATAATGCCGAGCCAGGGCGTTAGGACAGATGCCGCCGGTAGCAAGAGCGAGTTGATGGAGATCG